CTAGCGATAGCAGTACAGAAAACTGCGCGCAACTGCGGGTGATAATTATGGTCGGCAGTTTTCAATACCACGTTTCGTAAAGTTCCCGCGTTTATGTTGTTTAAAAACCTATACCAATAGATACAAAATTCAATTTTGTTTACTATCATGCTTTAAATAGACCCCACATCGGTCTTGTTTTCTATTAATATGCCATTAACTCTCACCGTGTGACCTTAGGCGGCAAGGAAGCCAACGCATACCAGACCAAAATAATGCATCTTTTAATTCTTAAACTGCAATAAATCATACATATTTTGGAAGAAAATTGAATTTTTATTTCAATAAGGGGTCTTTGTGAGCCCAACAATGACTAGTTCGCCATCTAGCTATGTTTTCGTCCAGAACTGTTTTGTATTCAAAATTCAAAGTTTTAGAATTAGACGTAAATCTTTTAAAGTTCCCGCGTTTCTTACGTTTTGAAATTTTAATATGTTATAATGTAAGCGATTCTGTTAATTTTAGTGAAATATTTAGACCCCACATCGATCTAGTTTTTGAGAATCATTACATATAGTGGAACAGGGTGACCATGGACAGCAATGGTGATTATGTATTGAACATCAACTAAACACAGTTTCCAACCTTTAAAAGGCAACAAAAGGCACAGAATCTGATAGATAATTCAATTTTGATATTTTTTGACCATGTTGTAAGCCCCACATCACTGAAGTTACTCGACAATTCATGGTAGAGCATTGGCAGGTCCGGTAGGCTGAACAGCTCAGAACCATGGTAATTTCGAAATTCAACAAAAGGAAGTTGGCCTTTGATATTACTTTTTGTCCTTCAATTTTTAATTTTGATTGTGAAAAATTAATTTTGTCTATGAACAATAATTGCAACTTAAGATATATAATTTTTGAAATGGCGGAGATAGCCAACAATTTATTTTCGTTAATGCTTCACAGATTCATACATGGCGTGGTCTCTGATCATAAATCAAAAATATATATACAAATAATAAAACTCATTGAAATTTGTTGCTTAGTTCTCTTTTTTAGACTTAAAGGGTCAGCTGAAAATAGTGGTCAAAATACCTTAGTGTTGTAATTTTGAACCGGTTTTACCTAGTACTCTATATACCGTGGTTCAGTCTGTGCCAGGCTGGCACGGTCCGCCGACATCAAAACAACGGTGCGTCAGCTGATTATTGGTCCTCCGATTCAGGAGAAATTATTAACGCGGGAACGCCGGCGCTAAATAAAGGCGGTAGGATTCACGGCTTTGCATGATTGTGTGCAATATTTTTTATAGTATCAAGCGAGGGGTATTGCTGGAGTTTTGCAAATAAATATTTTATTCTCAGTTTGGCTATGCGATCGTGAACACTTTATTTTCATAGATACGATATGAAATAGTATAAACAGGCCAACCCAAGGCTATGTAGGCCAACCTTAGACTTCGCATAGCCATGGACATTGCGTAGGAAGGTACTCACCGATCGTACCACGATACCACGGGCAAGATATCAGACTTTTGGGAGTTTTGTATCGCTGAAATGTATTTTAAGTGCTAAGAAGGAAAATAATTCAATTTAATGTCATGTACAATGGACATTTAGCCATTCCAAGCATAGGGGAAAGTGGGTGTATTGCGCCCTCCTAACCAATTGCGCCCACCAACATTCCCAAGGATTCAATGGCATGTTTATAATTTTGTGTTCGAAAACATTATTTTCACCACTGGATTGTTCATTTTATGGCCCAAACACTCCGATGAAGCCAATCAGCAAGGCTCATTACGCCATCAAAGTTGTTATGGCGTTTTCTTAACTTTTTTGCAGTACTTTGAACCGTTGGCTATAAAAATTTGCGTTATTTGTGTGATTTTCAGAATGATATTTAGAAAGAAAACCCCCTTTTTCATTGTATTTCACTGAAACCGTAAACTTCCTGCAACATCTTAATGATAACTTCTATGCTTTTATTAAAAAGTACCTCAATTTTAATTGCGCCCATGGCAATTGCGCCAGGGGGGCGCAAATAGAATAATGGTGTAGCCATTGTATCACGACAGTACGAATGCATCATTAACTGATTACAATAAAGAAGGAGTTTAATGTCAGGCAAGGGAGCAGCCCGCTGTCGTCAGTCCGCAAATTATCTCTATCGTCAAACTTATAATGCAGCTGCCATTTAGGCTACGACTTGTGGTGTATTTGACAAAATACGACATTTTAAACATGGACTCAGGCGTGAGAAGTGACAGCTATGATAAAAAAGTACAAACTGATGTCATTAAGTTGTCAAAACGATAAAAATTATTAATTTTGAGAGAACCGATTGAAAATTTAACTGTATAGGCGCATAAGTTCACATATATCTAGTCGGTTACAGTAAACGTTTTCGTTGCACTTTTACAAGCGTACGGACACATGTAAAGTTATCTACCTGGGCAAAAAACATCGCGATTTATATCTACATTTATTATTCATCCAGCCTGAATAACATTATAAATGTTTAAGTAAGCCGCAATGACATTAGACTGCCGGGGTGTATGCATTCCGTCTCATTCACTTAGCCATGTTAAAGTATAGGGCGCAATTGGGTTCTAATTGCGCCATCCCCCTGGCGCAATTTACAGCAGTTGTTGGCAAATGCGCCCTTTTGCATGTTTCTGAAAAAGCAGCTGTCAGAAGCAAACGAAACATTCTTAATTGATCGGGAGGCTCTTAAATCGTAGCCAATGAGCTCCCCTTTGAAATGGTTACCAGTGCATGCTTATATCTCCAGCACTTTTCTTGCAATTAGCGTTTTTCCTTAAGGTGGCGCAATTCACCCTCCTTCCCCTATAGTTTGCCTGGCTTCGCCAACCAGATAACCAGGTTTATTCCAAGAGCTTCTTAAGAGGTAGTGGATTTAATATCGTTTCTATTACATTTATTTGATAATCCTACATATCAGTAAACCTGCCACGTTATCATTCTCGTCGAGCGATTACCGGCACATCGTACCAATTGGTACGATGTGCCGGTAATCGCTCGCCGAGGATGCCAATGCAGCGTCGAGCGTCCGATGGTTTACGATAGGAATTATAACAATAGTTTTAAACTAGCGCTTTTTAGAACCATGGTCCGAAATGGTAATTCAAAGAACCTCTTCCCCTTTCAACTCACCTGAAAAGGCTGCTTTCGTGTACCACCCAGCACCCGTTTCGTAGATATATCAAAATGATAACCGGAGGCGAAGATTATCTTTATGATACCACGATTTGTGGGGCTGACTAGTACCGACGGGGATCCCACAAACACGACGGTCACATTCATTAAGCATGATGTACGGCGTAAAGCACCACAACTCACCCCAAAAGCGCAACCTTCTGAGATATCTTATATTTAGTTTCAATGCTGGTACTGGTGCAGTTTCAATGCTGGTACTCTGCTCATTTCTGCTCAATAAAGTTATTTCTCGCTCAAATGCGCCTCACATTAATCGTGTGCTGTGCTCCACAATCATTGCGCCGCGCGCTCTTCCTTCTTATCGGCCCCCTTGAGATCGTATCCATCAATATCTATTTGCTTCAGTTCTAAGTTCTAATGACTTGTATTGTAGAGAAACAATTTTAGAGCGTTTAACAAAATAATTGCATAACCTATGAGCGATAGGAAAAGCCCAATCGTCCAACTCATAAAAAACATTGGGACACAAACAATTGGAAACTGATGGTAGTTGGTACTTTCGCGCATAGGCGGCGGAACGGGGAGGGCACCGGGGCACCGTGCCCCCCCCCCCTTTGATTTTGGCATTTTAACATGGGCTCTATGGGCGTTACATGGAAAGAATGGGACCAAAAGTCGGCAGTGTCCCCCCCCCCCCCTTCCCCAGTTGAGCTGGGCGCAGGTACTAAATAGCATCAAAGGAAATCCTATATTCATCTCGCCGCATTTAAGCGCACCAATCGAAAGACGACAGCGTGACCGCGCTGACAGGCAATCAACCTGGCCACATAAAACTAGCTAGTGCAAGGAAGATGTCTATATAAACCACTGGACCATGCAAAGCGTTCATGTAAATAAAATATGAGTAAAGATGACCCGTTTGAGGGCAGACTGGCCAAACAGTGACGTTACACGCGGATCTCAACACTGCACAACCCATTCATCAAAAAAGATCTCGTGGATCCCTATATACGTCATAACTAGCCCTAGTACGGGGGTATATAGCCATGGACGTAAATGGCCGGCTTAAGGCACAGGATCCCAATTGTCATCCCCATTACGTGGTCCCCAGAAGTCGCCAGGCCGAGAGCCAATGGCAGTTAAGCACATCTTACACGTGCCGACAAACGTGACACAATGAATCGAATAATGAGCCCGCCAATAAGCCTGCCTAATTCTGCATGTAGGCTGCTATTTACCACCACGGCGGAAGGCTAAAACGCATCCATACAGCTCAACAGTCAACATAGGTGTCAATTTCCGCCGGGTTGGGGGTGCTCAAGCTCTTTAAATTCCCCGCCGGCTCGGCTGGCTTGGCTTTGGAGCCCCAACAGACGGTGCGGGTCAAGGTCACCGCTGAGGCGGCGGCGGATTTGCTGCGCCCGGGCAGTGGGCACCCTCAATTCGGTGAAAATCGACACCCATGCAGCTCAACATGACAAAACGCTGCATACAAGCGCACGTCCTCGCATTTAATTGACGCATTTAACTGCGTCACTAACCTCGTACACTGTACAACAGTGGTGAGATGACTGTCCGAAGGAAACTGCCGACTTTGGCTGGCAACATTCAGGGTTGGTGACTTATGTACTGAGTTCGGCTGGCTGACAGCGATGTGACTTCAGGACCGGTTGATGAACGGGCCATCCTAGCCCCATACTACAGGAGCCCAGCTGGTCTTGGCGAGCGGCGGCGACTGGACGAGGCTGGACCCCTACTACAGGAGCCCAGCTGGTGCTGACGAGCGGCGGTTACTGGACGAACGGGTCAGCCTGGACCCCTATTGCAGGAGTCCGGCTGGTCTTGGCGAGCGGCGACGACTGGACGAGGCTGGACTCCTACTGCAGGAGTCGAGCTGGTCCTGTCGAGGAAATAGTTCACCTTTAACATGGGATTTTAAACTGAGATAGCAGTCTGATAGAGCAGATTTGTGTATGCCCTATATTTGAACCGTTTGAGATATTCACCATTTATCAGTGAATATTGGTGCTTAAATTCATGTTCTAGTGCTCATTTACAGCAAGCAGAAACCTCTTCAACACACACAGTGGCCAATCAGCGATGAGAGCACTTACAGGAGCAGAATCCCTTGCAGCTGATAGGTTGTTCAGCAGTTAGTGTTCATAACTCTAATCATTAAAATAATGAAATCCCTTGAGAAGAAGTGTGTAATTCCATGTTAGAATACATTTAAATTTTATTCATCACATTTTTAACACATCTTTTTGAATTTTATTAATCAAATTACTCACAGAAGGTGAACTATTTCTTTTAACACTTACCTTGCTTCAATGGTGACATGTAGCTCTTGCAGCAGAGAAGGCACAGCATTTGGCTGCAACTTCAAATATTGACTTGTTGCTATCAATTATTCAGTTTTGAAATGCATACAGGTACAGTGAATCTTGGGTTCTCCTGTAAGAATGCTGACCGCAGAAGCAGAAGTTCATCCAAAGCTTGTGCCTGAAAAAGGGCCAAGTTTAATATATGAGTGAAATGAAGACTTATAGGTAAGGTTTTGACTAGACCCCTGGGTCACAACAGGAGATGACCCCCGTGATTGGTGGGACCACCAGGCACCAGCACTGGCACAGTCCGTTCTGACCACCGCACACCTATCAGCCCGAGAGCACACTAAATTGCATGTTAAAGCTCCATTAATGCTTTTTTCAATTTTGGCCATCCATTTTGTTGGGTCCATCATGTCCATCACCAAGCCACATTTAAAATGCACTACACTACATCCCCCACCACCTGACCACACCAGGCCAAATCTGCACCGCGCTACACAAAATCCGCACTGCACCAAGCTAAATCCACGCCACACCAAAGCCTCACCAGCCGGACAAGCCAGCACAGACGAGATCTTGTCGAAATTGCCATGCTTTGCAGAGTGCATACTGGCCTACCTGAACCTGACCTTACCCAACATATGAGCCTGACTGTCCTTAGCACTGGGAGCTCATTGAGACCAGGCCCCACAGGCCTAGTGGCCTCCTGAAACCTGATTTCCATATGGGGTGAGCTATTTAAGAAAGAATGGTGATCGGATATCGAACCCGAGACAAGACAGCAATGAGCAGTGGGCGGTTCATGCAACCATAATCATGTTTCCTTACCACAAGTATCAAAGCAAAAACAAAAATAGCTACCTATCGAATTCAAATTTCACTGGAACCTCACCTGCATGGATCTTAAGTGAAAGGTACATCTTGATACATCTGCACGAAAGATACATCTTGATCCACTCATCTCAATCTTGTTTTTCTGCATCCAGGGCATGCAACACTTCTGGTCAAGGCCGTATATAGGATATCGCTTCTGGTATTTTTGGCACAACTTACTCGACTGCTGAGCTCAAATGCAAATTGCAATCACGGTCATAAAATACTGAATCAAGGCCATATTACTGAATATTGAATCGCAATGTATATTCAGTCGATGTACCCCTCGTTCGATGTCTCTCAGACGACGAAGATTGTACGTCGTCCGGCCAATCCTCTTCTAGGTCAACGGGGGCTCGGCTGCAATTATGGAATGTGATTGGCCAAACGGCGTAGAATCTTTGTCGTCCGAAAGACATCGAACAAGAGTAATGTCGCTACTGCGCCATTGTTGCATCGAATTCGCCCCATAGAAGCACGTGTTAACTCTCTCCCATAGGGCCCTGGGTAAACTCTTGTACACAATCAGCTGACGGCATGCCTCCCGCGTCCCCTGGCTTGAAGCTTCGGCTCCGTGTTACCTTAGTATTCAATGACCGTGGTCTGTGCCAAGTCAGAGAAGGGAGAGGACGTGTGCGTTGTGGTGTGGTATATAAAGGAGCTGCTGTGGCGTATAAGTGTTGCGTGGCATAAGTAGCTGGTGTGGTGTTAAATGAAGTCAGACAGTGAAATGATATGGATTATTGGACATGGATTTCATCCTTATTCGTATGGTGAGTGATTATGGTGAAGATGAGTGCAGGCATTGCTGGCGTTTCAGTTTCTCAGGGTGGAGGCACTGTTCATTGGTTGATTGTCAATTGATTTCTATAAGTATTTATGACCGACTGAAGAATGAACATATTGCAGGTTAAGACTGCATTTAACTTTAAACAATAAATTAAATGTACCTAATAGTTCATTGGGCACTCAGGCAGTGCACGCGGTGCGGTGCTGATTTATGTGATGTCCACTGCATCAGTGCATCACATCACAGACTGGTTTATGTCCACTGCATCTATATGTTGTCAAAGAAAATTGTGTAGGTATATGAGCCACGATTGTTCGGTCAGAGAATTTTTGCCTTTTTGTTGCAGTTTCATTTACCTCTACGACAGAAATAAAGCTTTTTAAATGTTCTAATACGTATTTGGAGACTGTTTGGTGCAATGGCTGGTGCGGATTTACAGGCGGGGGTGGTCGTAGAATCAGACCCTGACCCTTGATCGTTTATATATAGCTTAGAACGTAACTTAAGAACGGAGCGCCTTTGCCGCTCGGCAGTTTCCTACAGAAGATTACTTTTTTAGGTTCATTTTTAGTACAATAGAGAAATATTACTGTATGCAGTTGTAAGCTTGCTGAAAGGAGCTTGAATGCAGTTTTGAATAAACATGTTTGATGAGTTTAATTCGATTCGTTTTTTTTTGGGGGGGGGCGGCTGTGAAAAGAAGTGACTAACACGCACATTAGTTAAGTTACACGCCTGTTCTCAAAAATGCATTTAGTTTATTAACACGCACAGCTTAGTTAGCTAACACGCAATATGTGTGTTTTGCGTACACGCATATAGCTAGTGAAAAGTGGCCGTGTGACAAACACATGTGTTACCTAACACGTCTGTAGTTATTAACAAAACACACCGATGATAGTCAATAAACACGCCTACACGGCTTATCTTAGTAACCTGGCAAATATTCGAAAACTAGGAGGTGTGTTTCAAAACACGCTATTCAACCTTTTGCGTGTAATTGAAAACACACTTAGTCATGAAATGCGTGTTTTGCTTACACGCCTATGGTTAGTGAAAAGTGGCCGGATAACTAACTAGTTGGTAAACTTTTTTTACAGTGTGTTCACCTCGCTCAGGCACGTCGAATAATATACTTTTTGTCCGGGTCAGGTCAACTTGGGGTGTTGACCTCAGGTCAAGGTCAGATCAGCACCCCCAGGTCACGAAGCTGGTCGAAAGAGGTTATGTCGCATATCATTCGATTCGGCAGGTCTTTCTGAGTCCATTGGTGGCTTTCCCGACTCGCTAGCTCAATTTGATCGGGAGTTATTGACGAAAAACTAATATGACCTTTATGACGTCATAAATGAGGTCAGGTCAAGTCATAAATGACGTCACGCAAGGTCAACATTGCAAAAGTGACGCATCTAACCTTGCAAGGAGTGCATCAAATCACGATTCTGTGTGCTTGAGATAGTTGGAGATCGTTCCCGGCGCCAGAATAGCAGTTTTCATTTTTCCCCATTGACTTATAATGGTGAGGTCACGAAAATGACCTGACCTCATATGACCTTTAGGAAAAATCCGAGATATACAAGTTGTGAGACTCATAATGGATACTAGATCCTGCAAGTTTCATTTCCCTGTGACATCTCCTCTGGCAGTGAGGGTGTTGCGAAGTTGCGACATCTGAAGACCGTGCAGAGGTTCACTTATGACGTCATAGGTCAGTGACCTGACCTGACCCAAAAATGCGGTTGGTGTCAAAAGATGTGGCTTGAATCAAAGGTCAGGTATGCCAAGTTTCAGCTCTCTATCGCCAGCGTGTTCGGAGCTATCGCGAAAAAAACCCTATGGGGGGCGGCACCCGCCCCCCCCCCCTCGGCCGGCGAAGGTTAATTAATGCTCCACCATATGTCACTAACTAAACCCACTATTTGAAGTTATACTTAATGACACATGGGTAGTTTTCACTCAACATAGTAGGATAATTAAGCATTAAATGCAAAATTAGAGCTTGAGATTGTCCGGCATTTAGCCCAACAGGATACCTCTTCAATCGTCCTAGCTGAACCCAGCATAAGCTCAGCTTGTCTGAACTCGGACACACCATCAACATTGCCGAGTCTGAATTTGAGCTCGACGCCGGGCCATGGGCCTGAACTTTGTGGTCATGGGCGCGGGAGCTGGGGGTCTGGGGGGCAGCCTGCCCCCACAACTCTGGGGCCGTGGGGCGCTGCCCCACAACTTTTCATAGGGCTAGGAACCGTCGGGGCAGCTTGCCCTCCCTGAATTAGCGGTTGTGGGTCACAAAGGAAAACTAAAGGGAAGAAAACATTTAAGAAAAAATCCCCCTCTTTACCTTACTTGACAGCTCATGTGGAAGATTCAAGCCTTTATTCTACGTTACCAAAAAGGTAGTTCCTTGACTCAGCTGAGACAAAATATCTCACTTTTTGCAACTGTTTTCGTTTCGTTTTTTTTTCGATGAAAAGGCGAAGGGTTAAAAATAAGTGGCCTAAAACCGGTGAGAAAACTAGATTTGGGGGTCATAAGCGTAGGAACCATGGGTGCAAGGGTGCAGCTGCACCCACAATATTTATCCAGTGGGTGCAGACAATGTATTCTGCACCCACAATAATCTGAACCAAAAACCCCTTTTTCATCAACACTACTTCCCATGCAGCACGGCAAATTCAGGATATGTTGCCTACTATCCATCTTTCGAAGCATTTGCTACTGTGATCAGTGATGGTCTTCAAAACTTACATTTGTGCTGAAAAAGGAAAATGGAGCATGTGATTGAACACATACCGAACCGATGACCCACTGTCAAAAATTTTAGCCCGATATCTTCGAAAATGGCTAAGTTGGCCGCTTTTACTTTTTGCGGTAGTCAATATTGACAATATTAGCCCTCGAATCTCTGCAGCGTTTTCCAGCTTCTAATGTGTAGGGGGAGGGGGAGGGGGTCGGTCGGACCCCCTGGCGTTCGGCCCCTGATCGAGCTAGAGCTTCGCGGAAAAAACGAGGGTGTTGCCCGTGACGAGAGGAAGCCGATGATACCCAATTTTAAGGTCCTACTTCATTGGTTGACCTTCCAGGTCAGGTCAATATTCCAAAAGTCGGGAAAATCGGGACCTGCTAGAACTGCGTAAAGTGAAGCTGTTATCGGGTTTTTCGGGGTGCTGATCACAAATATCTGATGTTAGTTTTGATCACAGATGATTTCTTCATGCATTTAGGCCAAATCGGGTCAGGTCAGGTCAGGTCAACCATTAGGCGTCCTACCGGCTATCCATAGTAGGTGTCAACTACCACTGACGGCGTCGTAGCATGTCACGAAAGCACTAAAACTACTTCGTAAACGTTCAAATGGATGCTAAATTCGAAATCAGCCCTATAAACTACCCTAGAAACATGTAAAACTCGAAAAAGTGAACCGAGGTCATCAAAGGTCAATGACCTGACCTGACCTTCAGGTTATCTTCACACCCACCGTGATGCATGGGAAGAACATCATTTCACATGTTTGGACGGGTACAATCACAAAAAGACTGGAAACGCGCGGATAATGTGAGCTGACATACGCCAAATCGCGATTCCGGCCGAACATGGTCTCGAGAATCAGGTCACAGGTCAAAGGTCTTTTGGGTCAGGGTCATGAAATTTTTAGAGTAGGCGTAAAACGGATCAACTCGAGGGTACTAAAAGTTTCGTCGCGATCGGCCGCTTTTTGCGCCAGTTATTTGCGAGCAACCATGGGGGGGGTTCATCCGACCCCCCTACACATGCGAGGGTCAATGCTTCCAAATGCACTTATCGGTTGGTACCTTTTCGACATGGTACACCCTCAAAGCTCGTAACGAGCCTTCGCTCGGATGTCGCCCCCCCCCCCCCCCCGCTTCACCGGCCATGGCTGGATTTCTGCACCCATGCACCCACAATGTTCCAGCCGTTCCTACGCCCATGTTGGGGGTACCCTAGGTTTGGCTAGTCCCAACCGGTTGCCCCCCCCCCCCAAGACGGCCGGCTGGATCCGCCCTTGTTTTTTCCTTTAGTTTTCAAAAAAAAATCATGGTGTCAGGGCTGTGATGAAAAATAAGTGGTTTAAATCCGGTGAGAAAACAGGATTTGGGGGTACCTACCCTAGGTTTGGCTCCTTCAGGCTCTGCTCCCCCCCCCCCCCCCCCAGTGAAAGTTCCTTAGACAAGGCCCTGGCGTGCGGCCGTTTTTTGCGGCTTGCGGCGGGCGGGCGTGCAATGCAATTTTTTGCGTCGGTGTTTGCGTTTTTTGCGGTGTTTGTG